AAGATCATTGTTTTGAGGATGTTTGTCTTGTCTCCTTTCTTTTCATTCGGTACATACCAGTTAAGTTTTCCTGGCACATATTTCGCCATCTTTTTTTTCAGTTCAGGGACTGTTTGCTGTTTTTTATGGAAGTAAGGATTATGTGATCATTAAAAAAACAGAACTCCTTGCTTCAGAAAATGGGCGTTATTATAGACGTTTCCACTTTGCTGAAACTGAAAGGTAGGCAAAAACCAAAAAATGTGGCAGAATTGCTGGAACCAGCAATACACATGTTTGCATAAGTTCCAACTTGCACACTAAGAAGAAGCCATAAACAAAGTTTTATACATAGATATAGACAATTGCAATTGCAATTATTCAAAAAAAGTTCAGAACCATATTGCAAAAAAAAAAAAATGCCCTTTCTTACTCTCTCTTCCCAAAGTGCCAAGAACAAGACAGAAGTCAAAAGAAACCACTGATTCTGTTATTCAAACAATGGATTCCATGAAGCAATCAAACAATCTGGGTTGGGGGGTGGAGATTGGAGACCCAGATGAATTAGGATTCATAATCCATAGTCACCAATTGAAGCGTCTGGGAAGATGGTGGCGATGTCTTTGTTCATCTAAACCAGTACACTGCATAACAGGATAACAACACACAAACATGCACCTTCCGATTCCTCTGAACATGGTGGACACAGCATGACAAGGACACCCACAATATGCCTTCAATCTCGTGTGCCTCTTCTTCCTTCCTTTGCTACTGCCTTCACGGCGATCCATCCTGCAAAAATAGCAGACACCCAAAAATCTAATTCCCCTGTCAGAGCCAAAGATATCAGCTTTGGATTGGATCTTTACCTAGCTTGAAATTGCAGTTGGTGGCAGAGAATGAATATGAGAAGGTTATATGGTAGGGGAAAGAGACTGATTCTGGAAGGAAAATATATTTAATGGAGAATATTCGGTTTTAAAGGCTTCTTCTGGTGAGGAAGGAAGCAAAGTTGAGATCAAGTTTTAAAATTCAGGTCTGGTTGTAGTTGCATCTGTGATATACTCTTTTATTTTGGACGCGTTTACGCCGCGTTTGGTCTTATGATGCTATCTTTTTCTTCGGCCTGACTTGATGCTACCAAACACAATCAAGTCGTCCCATTTGTCCAATTTAGTTGCTATTCTATTTTGTTTTCTTTTTGTTTCTGCAACTTTGCTCATTTTTCCTTTTACAAACGAAATCTGGTCAGTATTAATTTGGAGGATGGTTGGCTCAGATTAATAAGCCTGAGATTCAATTGTTTTGTCATTAATTTTGAAATAACCCAGAATGCTCCCGTACAATAAGCCTGAGATTCAACTGTCTTTATTAATTTCGTACAAGAATTGTTTTGTCGTTAAATTTGAAATAACCCAGAGTGCTCTCGTATACATATATGATGATATTCAAATTCAACATCTAAGTTTGAAAAATAAAACGATAATATCAAATTCAAATTGTGTAGGCTTAGGTGTCACATGTATTTCAAATACTTGTGTGCGTGTGTATGTCTCTTGTATAATTGACAATTTGACACGTCATGAATTTTGATTTTGCTGATATTAAAATTGAATTGAAAATATGGTAAAGGACCACATGATTAAGAAAGATGGAATTTAGGAGAAAATTTTAAAAAAAGTTCAATCCAATTGAATCAACATGATTTTCAAACTAATTATGTCAAATGATACTTTACGTGAAGTTAATTTCATGGGTTGAGAATATTATAGTAATGTAAAAATCAAATGGTACCCTAAAAGGGGAGAAAAAGAACAGAGATTGGAGTTGGGAGGCAGTAAAAGCCATAATCAGCGGCGTTGTGAAATTTGGGCCCCCCTTCTCTCTAGTTACTAATAACGAAAAGCAGTCCATTTACAACAACATAATAGTATTTGGAAGTACCGAAAAGTATTTTTTAGAAGTATTTTTTTACAAAACGAGACAAACTCTTTCATATATTTATGAGAAAATCCTAGAAAAAAACCCTTGGAATATAGGAAATTCCTAATTAGGTTCTAGAATTGTGCAAATAACAGAAAGGGTCAGTGACTCAATCTATCATTTATAAAATCAAGAGGAATTGACAACTTTGTCCTAGCTAAGCAAAAGTGAGTAATTATTCTCTAAACAAATTTAGGTAACGCTTACATTGTTCTAGTGATTACATGATTAGTTGTAGTTAATAACAAAGTACCTGACTACGAAAAAGTGAGTAGTTATTCTTTATACGAATCTAGGTAACGATTACACTGTTCTAGAGATTATATGACTAGTTATAGTTAATAACAAGGCACCTGACTACGAAAAAGTGAGTAGTTATTCTCTACACAAATCTAAGTAATGTCTAAATTTTTATAGTGATTCCTTAAATCATTATAGTAAATGAATACATATGAGGACAAAGTTGTTAATTCCTTTTGATTTTACAAATAACAGATTAGGTCATTGACCCTTTCTGTTATTTACACAATTACAGGATCCAATCTGGAATTCCTTATATTCCAAGGGCTTTTTTTGATATTTTCTCTATGTTTATTTTGTATATCGTAAAAATACTTTTAAAACTATAGTTTTAATTCTATCTAAATACCTCAATAATCTCCGTGACAAGCAGAGATTGAATGGAATAAAAACAACTAATTATTTCTAACATGATGAATTAATATTTAAATTTTTATTAGGAGAGTTGTTCATGTTTAATACTTGATAACGTTTTGAACAAGATTATTTCTAGTAAAAAAATAATTGTGTCTAGAAAAAGAAGCAGTCAATATGTGAATGTATGCTATATTTTTGTAATTATTTCTGCTTGATAATTATTATTAAGAATAGTATATGACGTTTTAGGTTAAAAAATTATTTTTTATTCTATTATTTCTAAGAGTATTCTGTTCCACAGACTGACCAACAGTGATATCATAAATGTAGAGAGGACGAGGAGAGGTGTCCCTACATCAAGTGACTAGGAGCCTTCGATAAAAGAAATTATATTTTTGTTTGTGAAAAAAAATATAAAATAATATATTTTAACTCCTTATCCCATAATTTTATTTTTAATTTAGCCTCTTACTCATCAAATTCAAGATCAGTGATTGCAATTTGCAAACGAGCCTGCAGTGTTTCGGTTTATTTATTGGGTTATATGCTGCAAAGTTCAAGTTGTCACACATGGACCGCTTAAGATCTTATTTAGAATCAAAACCATTAAAAAAATAATAATAACCAAAAAGCTATAGGAAGTGTGAATTATCATGCGATGGTGGTAACAGATTATATTCAAGTGGGATACTTCTCTTCATGTATTAAAACCCATTTCAGATCGTGTGATTTATACATTAATACTACATCTGATCCTATTTATAAAACTTTATTTATAGACTATAAATGAGATCTTATAATTATAACCGGAGGTAGTATTTCATTTACTTTCACAGATTTTTTTAAAATATTAGTATTCTTAGCGTGATATATATAAATATTTTTATGTATGTTAATTAAAATTATATATTATTTCCAATCCTTAATATAAGAACTAATTTAACTTTCAATTTGGTTCTAAATATAAGATCCTAACCTAACTTTTTTTTATATTTATTTATTTATTTCAAAGTAATTCTTGTAATAAGTACACATCAAATGGTAGTTTTAGTTAATATACATTATTACTAAAAGTATTTTAGAAAAGACAACATATATTTAATATAAATAACTAACTTAACAAATTTTTTTAATCTACGTAAATTAATTAACTAATTTTTATATTAAAAACGTAACACACGAAGGTAGTGTTATTCTAACTTCGGTTTAATTACCGCTCGACCAATTGTAACTCAGTACCTTGCTTGGCTTCGCAACTTCCCAGATTTTTCTTCAGACGGCGCTTACGTTTTGCATCTCTTCATTTGCTGTTAAGGGCGAAAAAATTTTTTTGGGGGGGGGGGGGGGAGGGCGAAAAAATTAGGAAAAATTACAACAAATCCCAGATAAAAGAATTACATATAAAAAAAATTTTAAAATCATCAAATTATTCTGAAATATAAACTAATTTAATTACCAAACTTTTTTTTAAGATTTTATATTGACAATTGAAAGAGTAGTTATTAACAATATAAAGTGTAGTGATTAACAGTTATTATGACAGGTATTAACAACATATTTTCTCATCCTATTACAAAAATGTAATGTATGAGTTGTTAATAACTGTCGTAGTAGTTGTTAATTCTTACACCTTAAATTATTAACAGCTACACTTTCAATTGCCAAGACATACTTCAAAAAAAGATAAGGACAATTTCATAATTAAATAAATGAAATCTTTTGGAACTTTAAAATAATTTAATGATTTTGAAGGACTTTTTGGTATTTAATTCTTTTAGATGGGCCTCAATTGGAACTTTAAAAAAATTATCCGAGGGGGCTTGCATGCATGAGTGGCTTCCACGTGTGTGAGTGTGATGTTTTATCAGCACCAGTATTTATCTGATTTATACCATTGGTTTCTTTTGAGGAAACATCGCTTTTATTTCTCTCCTTATCCAAAAAAAATTATTATTTTTCTTAGAATTTGAATTGCTTTGAAGAATATACCCTTTTTTTTTTCTTTCTTTCTTTTTTTTTGGCCTACACTACCAAACTTCGTGTGCCTGGCTACACTTTTAGTATTTTTGCGGCCATCTCAAAAGATGCATATGTAAACACATTCCCTCCAGCACTTATTAAAAACATATTTTAACAAAAAATATTATAAGTTGCCTGGATATTAATTGTATTTTTTTAAAAAAAAATTGCTCCTGTATAAAGTTTGATGTAATTTTCTTTTGTGACTTCGGGACAGGGAGATCCAAATAATGCTTCTAAATACGAGTAATTTTAGGATTTTCTTTTTTAAATTAATGACTTTACCATCTCTTCTTAGCCTTGATAAGGCTTATAATAAAAAGGAGGAGTATATATTAAGCTAGACACATTAGACACAAATCTAAGAAAAATAGATAATTTAAATTAATTATACATTATAGGTAGGCATATGAGAAGGTAACCTTCATTTAAAACTAGCCACATGTTGATGTTTAATTTTTTTATGTTCACCTATTATTTTTGTTTTGTCCTTTACACATGTTCAATAGATCATATTTGCCTAAAAAATTCTCTACCAGACGAAGAATTCCCTCTTCCTTTCCTTCCCCGTGGAGACACTTGCTTTCCCTTGTTCAAGGCCCTCCCCTATATTTGAAGAGGCACAGCAAAGAATGGAAGGCGAAATTCCCTGTAAGAATTCGTACACAACCTCAACTTCAAACGCAGCATAGAAGCAGGCGCCATTACTCCCTTTTGTCCTCCTCTCGATCTTCACCAAGGCCAAACACATGATGATCTGCCACGGCGGCGGCTTTCCTTTCCTTTCTTTCCCCAGACACCTTCACTGCTATGGCCTCTTCGTCAAAGTCTTCCCCTGCCTCCTCTGAGTATGCATATCTGCATAACAACAAAATTCCGATCAACTTTAAGCCTATCGTGAAGGCCTTAATATCCACCAAATTATGTGACATGAGGCCATATTAGCAGGTTAGAATAATATATGATATGATCAAGTGTAAGTGAGGGACAAGTTTAAACAGAAAGTAGAAGCTTCCATGATTCTAATATGACATGAGACACGTCAAGTGAACATCCAGCCAATCTTCCAAGTCAGCCTTCGAACTGAGAGGGTAAAGTGTCAAGCAAAGAGTAGCAAAAAATCCTGCATTTAGTAGAATTAGAATGAAAGCGGGCGTAAATGGGAAAGATCCTTGGATGAGATACCACATAGTTTTGAGTCAATGAATGGTGTCACCCCTATAATTCTTTTTTTTTTTTAAGGAACAAAATACAATAAATAAAGAAGCCCAATAGATCTCCATGGTGTTTGAAGCTGTCTCCTGAGTCCAGCACTAATATCACATTTCTTCATAAGCTATTGTCTGAAACCTAGTGGTGCGCGTAGGAATACCTACCGGTTCAATAGATGGACAACAAAAATCAAGGACACACACACACACACACTCTCTCTCACTTGATCAGTCAATAATGTATTTTGGCGCAGAAGTCCCTTTGAAAAGAAAACGGAGGTTTTCCACCGTTATGAAACTTGAACATACAAGCTCTATCCTCCTACTCACTTAAGCCTTAGGATCCTCAGAACACAAGTTTCGCCTAAATTTAATAACATAATCAATAAATCAATATACTTAATAAATGAAACTGCATCATCCATAAGTTATGAATAATGCAGCTCATACCCCTTGCAAAAGGAAAGGTGTTTAGTTACTCTACTTCTTTATGCTATGTCACTGTATGTTTTTATATAATTGAAAGAATTGCATTTTTATCTACTTTCCCCATCCCTAATTCATATCATATCACAAAAACCAAAAACCCAAGTCCCCAGTAACTGTCCAAAAGTTGAAGAAACATTGAAATCAGAAGTGTGGTGCAGTTTAGATTTGAAAAATCGGGTTTATGGGATGTGAGTCGAGAGACCATCATACTTAAATGTTCCATTAAATATGTGGCAGACATGAAAAATTTAGAAATTCAGCAAAATGTGTCCTGGGCATCAGTACTTAAGAGATGAGAGGTGAGAAAGGGTAGATAAGTTAGATTATACCTGGTGGGATTTTGAGATGGGGCCCAGAGAACACAGATTACCGCCAAAAGAATGTATGCAAGTAAAGTCCAGAAAGCTGGGATGATCCAGGCTCTTCGCCACAGTTCACTCAAAGGGTCAGATGCATTGAAGTACAGCTGAAGAAAAAATAAATCTGTTAGTCTGAGCGTCTTGTAATTATTAATATCTATGTAGCATGAAAATGAGAAACAAGACTATAATTTAAGAGAACCATCCTGACCCTCGTTATTTAAGAATTCCTCAGAATTATTTGACGGATTAGATAGAAAACCAACTTGTTTACTCGAGTCTATTTTCTTTGATGGTCATTAATAAGCATTGCAGATAATAAGGAACAAAGAACCACCTCATATCCGATCCAAATAACTGAAAGCAACACTGTCACCGCGAGGGCATTGGTAAATTTTCTGTATAGTTCAAGTTTGGCGGTACTTCTTCGAGTCTGCATGCAAGAGACAAATGGACGTAATCATCAATAAAGGAGAGTCAAGCAAATAAGATGTAAATGATATTCGATTAAAGCGAAGGCAGAACTATCAGTAATATTCTAAACCAGAATGATCATATCTCCAGGTACTGCTCATGTGTTCTTGCTTGTATTATAACAGTTCCTGAGCAAAGGAAGTCTATTTCTTATAAACATTTGAATTTACACCAAACTGAACAATATTTTCTTAGGAATTTCTAAAATATACATGTAGTTAATTCAATCATTTACCAGTCCCAAGCATTTAGGATAATTTTCAACAGCAGGTTTGAAAGAGATAAAATGCAACAGAATGTATAACCTAAAACTATATAACTACATAGGCATAGACCTGGCTAAATAGTTAAAGGAATGTTTCACATAGTTCAGTGCTGTTTACTTACTCTTACCCATTGACACTCACAACTATGACCATAGAGTGTCCACTATCAAATTTCATAGAATAGTACTGAGTTCACTAAATTTTTTCCCTCCTCTCAAAGCTAACAAGCACTGCAGACAGTATTTAGCAAAGACGTGGATCATAAGAGCCGGGGGGGGGGGGGTTTACTAAAAACAAAGTTACCTGAAGCTTTTCCAACGTTTTAGATAGCGATGAAAATATCCAAAGAATAAAGCATGCATCCAATAGAGCAACAGGCAGCACCAGAAAAAGCCTTGTTTTTCCAGAGAAGTCATTAATATTACCCAGATGTTCAACCAGCTCAAGCGCTTCAGAAGAAAGAAAATACGCTGCACCAAGAAGAAGTACCCTTGTGGTTATAGCTCCAAGCGTCGGGCGCACAACACCATAACCCATGGAAACCACTAGAATAAGAAGCCGTGAGACTGTCTTCTTCACAGCAGTGAAGGTCACAGCCCATAGTGTAATTCCCATTGGTCTGGTTCCAGTGGAATTGAAATTTGCATACTCAAAATACCAGAGGGCCATTTCACACATTCCAAGACCAATGACCGCAGTGATGTGGTAATGCAGTTGTATTATGTCTTTCCAATATTGCACAAACCTTAGAAACCAGAGTAGGCCTAGAAAAAGGTAAGCCAAAGACATAAAACCATAAAACGTCATCAGTGGCATCATCTTGCCGGGAAGATAACCATCCGGATTTCTCCAAACAGTTCTTCCACTGATTATTGTACCCTTCAGTTCAGGATCACAAAACATAAAATACAAGTAATACATCCCAGTACTGTTTATTTCAACATTTTGGAGAACCATTTTAGTCTCTTCATTTTTCCCTTCAAAGAACGTCTGTAGACGTTTGGGACCATTAGGATCATCAGGGTCTTCATGGATGATAACCTCCCCCACCTTGCAGGAACCATCCTTGGCAAGTTCCGGGGTGCAACATATAGCTTCAGAGTTCAAATAAGCACCTCCAATCTTCTTTCTGTCTTTTACCTTAACTATAATAGCTTCAACCAAGCCTGTTCTTTGCTGCATCTCATTCTTCAGGGCAGCAGATTCTTTCGTTCTTCGAAAGGTGATAGACTCAAACCTGATTGTTCATGAGATATAAAGCAAATTAAAACCTCGGAAATTCATTCTCACATGGTACAAAAAAGCCATGAAGATCCATTTTGATCAGTTAAATTTTCCTCCCCAATATTCCCTTGATTAAAAAGGCTACAGCAATAATCATATTGTTTATTGACTTCTGCCACGATTTTGTTGGACATGGCAATGGTTGCAGACTCTTATCAGCATCGTAACGCACCATTTCAATCAATAATGATAAGAGATATCTGTGACATTTTGTGCATTCAGTCAATAGCCAACATCATCAAAATGAGTCAATCCGGCACCTTGACAAAACAAAAACAAATTTTCCATCGAAGAAGGCGACAAGAAAGAGATGAACGACCATGAATTTTCGGGAAAAAAGACAGATCAAATTCGCCTAGTTGTTCCCAAAGCAAACGGGTACGCCTATAAAAAACGAAAGGAAGCTAAAAACGAGTACAGGATAGCTCCAATTTACCTGATGAAAGATTTCCCACTAAGGAACTTGTCCTCCGAAGCTTGTGTGTCGTTAACGGAGACACCTCTGGAGGCATAAAGACCTTCACTACCACCATGGAAAAAGAAGGAATTCGCACGGTGAATAAAAGTTTCGTTTTGATATTCGTGGATCGAAGCGCCCACATGGATGATTGAGCAGCAGCTCAGATATATAATCACAGAGGCGATAATATAATGCCCAATCAAACCCAGATCAGATGGCGAAGGAGGCTTCATCTTTCTTTCTCTCCAACTATGCGTCCTTCGCTCCCAGACTGACAGATTTCTCTTTAATGTGAAACAGTGAAAAAGATTAAGGTTACGCTAATGGAATCACCTTTTGGAGTCATTATAGGGTAATGGGGAATTAAATCAAGTTACTGAATTTCCGTTTCTGTCTATTGAGGACGAGAAACACAGTAAGGTTCCTTATTGAGCAATAAACATGGCAAAGAACATGACAGCCATATCTGGACGCTAATATGATTTAGGATATAGTAATGAAATGGATATTATAAAACTAATGTTACTTGTTGGATAGCCAATCCTGGTTATTATTTTATAACATTCAAATGTAAGTAGTAAATACTATTTGTGGTTCTTAACATAAAAACTAGTTAGTGGATTTAAACAGTTTCAGAAAACTAATTGAGTTAGTTATTTATAATAAATGAATTTTTTAAAAAAAAATTCTTGCTAATTAAATATATTAATTAAAATTACTATTATTACAAGAAATATTTTGAGAAAAAAAGATAAACATAAAAAATAAAGTAAATTAAAATTTTACATTTAAGATAAAAATAAAATTCAAACAACTTTTTATGTTAAGGGCGGAATGTACTACTTTGCTGATTTTAGAAAAGTTATGTCGGGGCGTCTTTATTTTTAAGACGAATATTTCCGTATAGTATAATTACTTATACTATATGTTGGCAATATATATATATATATATATATATTAGTTATGTGGTGCTTGGATACCTCAAAATTACTTAAAAAAAAGTACTTTCACATTATTTGAGATAATTTTTTTTCATATATTTATTTTGCATTTTTCGGTTCTATTTATAAGTCACTTTCAACATATTTTATATAGACTAAAAAAATTATTAAACTTCATTAATTTTCATTTAAAATTTAATATTTTTTCAATTTTATCTCTATTTAATATACATTATTTTTTTTTTTATCTGAATATACATTATACTTCACATAAACAAAGTTAATACAATAATAAATAAAAAATAAAATTGTACACTCATATAAAAAAAAAATTTCACTACCCTATAAATATAACTAAAAAAATATATTATAAAATTACTTTTAAAATTATGATTTGATTTTTATTTAAATATCCTCTTAAATTATATTTAATGCGGACTTAAATTCGGAAACTCGTCTAAACATAAAGAGGGGTGTTGTTACTGTGACAACTAGTTATTGACTCAATGCCCATGATTATTCGGTGAGGGTAGGAAAACAAAACTATAATTTTAAAAGAGAGAGAATCTTAAAAAAAATATTTTAAAATTTTAAAATCTCAAATTAAGAATAATTACAAAAATACATTGTCATTTGTTTTTTAAATATTGTCAATTATTATTAAAATTTGATGAATAAGACTGATTTCAAATTCTAAAATTTAAAAATATGTTTTTGAAATTCTCCCTTAAAAAATTGTCGAATGACAGTTTTTTTATTAAAGGGATAAGTACTGATGCCCAGACTTATAAATGAAATTAAACTTGTCATCCCATACTTATAAAAAACTTTTATATTACTATCTCTAATTTTTAATATAAGATTTAGATAACTAATTTATAAATATTAATTAAATTAATTATTTATAATAAATAAGTGTTATTTTTAATAAAATATTTTTTTAATTATATGTATTGGAATAAAAATTATTTAAACATTTGTTATTACCATGACAAGTACTTTGAAAAAAAAAATTCTATTGATATTTGCGAAGAAATCTGCAAACCTCTTTTTTTTTTAAGAAAAAAATAATAACAAAAAGCTGCTGTGTTGATTTTTTTTTTTTTTTTTGGATACATTATTGAGTCTTCTTTTATCGGACGGTCACTGATTGACAAGTCTGGTTCATTTCGGCCCGGTATGGAGCCTTTTCCTAAAAGGAATATAGAAATGACTCGGTTTAAATGTTTAAGCTGAATATAATGCCACCATATCAATATCAATATTACTAAGTAATATATAAACAATATAAATTATTTTTAACAAATAATGATGTTTGATATGAAAAAATAAAGCAGTTTTTTAGATAGAGGATGAGAAAGTACACCGCCTTATAATTACATCACGTTGTGAGACAATGTACTTTCTCGTCTCTTTTATTGGATTAATTTTTTGAAAATAATTTTATGAAAGTCAAAATAAGATATAAGAAAAATTTTATCTCAACTTGTATAAAATTATTTTTTTAGGCCTATAAAAAACAGTTTTTTCTCATGTCAGAATACACCAAACTAATAAACTATAACAGAGTTATAAAATATTTTTTAAAGGAAAAAATGAGATGAATTAGACTGCAAGGTCTATCTAGATCATAACTAAATTTAAATAGTATTTATAGAGACATTTACATATTATCTAGTGACGAAATTTTCATGTTAGTACTGAGATTTAAACACAGTTTTTTAAATTGCTAGTCAAATTCTCATAGACTTAATCAACATCATTTGGTGCGCGTGGGTAAACATGTGATGGAATTATTTTATTGTACAGATATGAATATTTATGTCTGGCAAAAAAAGAAACAGGAATAAGAATATGCATGAATATGCCTATTGTCCACTTATTTATCTAGCCACCAGTAGTAGTCTAGTACACGTGGCTTGTTGTGTTTTTTTAAATTTAGTTCCAAGACACTAACTGCATTTAATATTATTAAACTTGTAGTATTTTTATTTCATTAAAATGCGGCCATTGGAAGGAGAAAGCAGGATTTCAAGCACTAGCCAGGAGGCCAGAATTGCCAATCAAGTTATTCCTCAAACACAAGTTAAGGCAAAAACGGCAATGTATTGAGCAAAGTAATTAGCTTTTATATGGGAGAATTACAATGAGCTCCCATGTAAGGAAAAAAAATTATAAAACAAATTCTAAAGATTGTTATTCTCCACCTAGAACTTGTTGTTACATGCTGCTCAGATTGTTATTAGATCTTTTAGTAGTTATTTCTCTTGTATAGAACTTAATTGTAATTCTCCTTTTTAATATCTTCATCCGTTTGATTCGTTTACATGGAAGGAAATATATATGTATTCCTCATGCATCCCATTATTGTCACAAGTTAACTCAAATGTTGTAATGTTATTTATTAGAATTAGTTTCACTGCTCATCACAATAATAACAGCTATCATAATACTCATCATTATAATGAGATGTGTAATGTTTAAATATAAATTCAATTTCCTGGATTTAAAGATTTTAATTAATAATTTGTAAATAAAAATATTTGTTTAAAAAAGCTGATAATTAGGAAATTATTTTTATTTTAATTCTTGTACGTATTAAAATAATATTTTTTAAATAAAAAAATTAATTTGTATCATCCAAATTATATTTAGACGGTGCATGCGAATGCGTAACGGTGAGGAATTCCTAATGCTCATAGGTCTAATGTCTATCTACTTAGCATCAAAGCTCATTCCCCCTCAAACCACTACTTCGACCCGTAAAATACTGTTTCGATTCGTACTTTGTGGTTTTTTTTGGGGACCAGAATGGTATCTCTTTTTTTTTTTTTTTTGACTGCGTCATATTCCGTTCCCATTAATTAGATTTTATTACGTCCATAATGGTTTGATCAGCCAAACATGTCATTAAAGACGCGATAACTTATTAAAAAGGGAAAAGAAGACGAGGGGCAGTAGGGTTGGTGGGAATACATAGAAAGTCAAGTCCATTGCATCAATTTTCCCTTGTTTCCATTTCAATTGTATTTGAAACCACTCCCACTCATGGCAATTTGGCTTTGAATATGTATGTTTATATACACATATAAAGCCACGCAAACCACATAAACGTGTGAAACCACATATATTACTCTATGAACATATATATTTTTATATTTTTATATATAGTAATGAAGTTAATTAACACGGCTTATAGATCGTGTGGGACATTTCATTGAAATCAAACTTGAATCAAATCATCCTGTGAATTCAGTGCATTTATTATAATAATGTCTTTGAACAAAAAAAATTATACTTGTTTCCGAATTTGCTTTTTGTTTCCTTTACTCAGACAGTCCTCCTCTCAGTTCGGTCACAGTTCAAATTAACGCTGAATAATCTCCAGCCACAATTTCAGATTTGGGTTATCCTAAAATCACTTAAGAAAAATATTTTTACATAAATCGAGATAAAATTTTTCTTGTTATTTTAGAAGTGTTTGGAACATCCTAAAAGTATTTTTAAAAAGAAATTTTTCGTAGATTGAGACAAACTCCTCTATATGTCTTGGTTTCTACCCACATACCCCCGAACGTATATTGTAAAATTATTTTTAAAATCATGATTTAGTTTCTATTCAAATGTCCCCTTGATATTTGACATACTACTTTTGCTCCTTAATTGGGGTTGAATTTGATTCTAAATATAAGACATCAATTCACTCTGTCTCTTTTTTTTTCCTTAGAATATCCCTATTGAGTGCAAGGAATTCCAACCAATGGATCTTTCTAATTTAATACACATAATTGAATATAATAGTTTAAGAAGATCAACGCATATTTATGACAAATAACTAACTTAAATTTTTTATTATTATTTCTAAATTAATTTTTTAGCTCTTATATTAAGGTATGGAGTATCAATTTCTTATTTAAGTTAATAGCTCTTATATTAACTTGGAGTATATTAATGAAAAATGAATAATAAAGTAAATAGAAATTGAATTAAAATTGGACGTTGTATTAAAGTCTCAGCATTTAAATCACTAAAAAAAAAAAGAGCACTCAAGATAAAGTGTGCACCAAAAAACATATGCAGTGTAGTTATCCTTCCAACTTATATACAGGACAAAAGAAGCATTGTAGAATATTACTATTTGTGAGAAAAATGTTGAAGGAACATGACGAAAGGTTTTTTTGGAAAGTTTTTTATTAATCAGTGCACAGAAGATATTCTTACAAACAAGTGACATTGTATATTAATGCTACCAACAAAACAGAACCTCATTGGTGGAGCTCCATATCGGACAAGTGAGATTGGCGTCCATTTAATGATACATAGGACACGAGACGAGACCGTTCTTTCTTGTCCAAAAAAAAAAAAGTCCAACCACTGGGCATTAGGGAAGGTCTACAATTTATTATTGATACATCTGAGCAGGAAGAAGTCTGAGTTTAACTACTATGATTAGGATCGAGCAAAAAAAAAAAAAAAAGACAACTATGATTAGGAAAGCTCAATATTCTGGCCCGAAAAAACTCAATATTTAAATAATATTCAAAGGAAGTGAAAATTATGTACCCTCGTATAAAAAGCTAAACGAATAATCCATATTCAATATAACATCTATTTTCATTTTTCTTGCATATGTTAATTAACTTAAATCTTAGGAAAAAATAATACATTTTTCAAAAAATTAAATTATTATTTATTAGAAAAGATTTAAGCTATATTAGAATATGCAAGATTCCTTATATTTTTGACTTGATCATAAAGTAGTCTTTAAATTAAACTTCAACTCAATATAACTTAGTCCCTTAATTTTGAACTGGCTGCCCTTAAATTCTAACTCAATACAACTCATTTAAAATATTAGTTCCTAAGTTTTAGAAAATAAATTACATATTTTATGAAGCTTAAGGACTAAAATTTTAATTAATTAAATAGTTAAAACTATAAGAATTAATTCACAGTGAGTTAAAGTATAACAATTGGGTTTTAACTTAATAAAACTATAGCAATTAATTAAGTTGTATTGAATCAAAATTTAAAAATTAAGTTATACTCCGAGTCCAAGCTATAGCTAGCAAAATATTAACTTTTCGGAAAATAGAACTAGTTGGGGTTAATTTTTCGGGTCAAATAATTTGGTAAGCAGATTGGACCAAAGAATCCAGATCCCCTGCAAAATCCAGCAAGTTTTCTCTGCGCAGTCAAGGATATATAGTGATTAGTGAATTCACGCCAAGGATGATTTTCCTAGAACCCGGGGCTAAATCGGTTCAATTACGTTCAAATATAATCTCCCAAAGACGAAGAAATTGGAAGCCTCAAAGAAGAAGAAGAAGAAAATATTTGTGACGATATGGTCATAGGTTCAACGCCAAGAAAATTCATCACAAATAAAAGAGGTCCAAATTTAAAAGAAGCGGTTTAAATGGGCAAGAATTCTTCTTCTGGACCCAAACAAAACAAAGTTGTGATACTTTGAAAGTTTCCCAGCACCTAAGGCGCTGACCAGGTCTTCGCTTAATATTCCCCTTCTTTTTCTTTCCTTGTACCGTGTAAAATGAAACAAAATGCTAGCTTTCTCTCTCTCCTGTATGTCCCCAACAGCACCATCACACTCACACATATATATAGAAGCTAACAAGAAATTTAGTGCCATGTTATTCAAACCCGTTTATATATTCTAAGGATTTTCAGATAAACTTCATAGTTCACACCTAGCGAGCCAAGTTAAATTCAGAAGGACACAGAGAGATAACTAAGCATGGACGAGGACGTTACTTCTTTGATTCAGAGGGCCTGTGAGTTAGCCAGAAACCTTGAATTGAACCTGCCCAGCGAATCTCGTGATTCGATATTGAGGTGTATTGATGAGATTGTGGCGAAACTGAATGCTGCTAAAGGGAAGTTGATGGCGGTGTCGTCGTCTCGTGACGAAGAAGCTGCGAAGCAGGAAATCATACAGCAGCATCCTTACATGGCTTCTTCTTCAGCTTCTTCGTTCTTGCAAGAATGGCTCTCTGCGAACAATCGGTTTGTCCAAATACCGCAACTTCAAGCGCCGGCGATGACGGCGGCGCCGCCCAGGGGCACACTGCAGATGATGACTGACTTGGGTGCGAGAGATGTAGATGCTTCTGCAGAAGGTGATGTTGAGGCATCTCCTTCGTCTCGACGGCGTAAAAGGTGACTAGTATTAATTTACACTGTCCTTATCTGGCTTGGAATAATATTATGAATTCCGGTGAATAGATAGATATACATATACACAGGTATACATATATATACGATGATTGTGACTTGCATTGATCTAATCAATCATTCTCTTAAATATCTCGTATGTGTTGTATTGCCTTCTTTCTAAAGTATATGTGAAATGGAGATCATGAGCTATGTTTATATTGTGTTGTGTGGTACTAGTATTAGCTTTATATATACATACCCCACAAGAAATGAAAAGCAAGTGTGTGCTTTTGAATTTTGGATGCTCTTTTTGCTTAAAAGCGAGAAAAGAATTTCCCTACATCTTTCTTGGTAATTAAGCAAATTCTATTACATGTGGCTCGTGCTGTATTGGCCTTTTGCTTTGTATGCCGATCGAGAAATCCAACCAATGATTCCTAATAACAAAGGCAATGATTACTTCATAGTACTAGACAGATACAATGTTGCTTCAGCATATGGAGTTGTTAATTATATTGATGGGCATCATGCTATGATCCGTGCTTATAATTGTGTTGGTAATGTTATAGCAGGAAGGATGATGCAGAGAAGATGACATTCACGGTTCAAGCAGTTCAGTTGGGGAACTCGGATAGTGTCCCACCAGATGATGGCTACACTTGGAGAAAATATGGCCAAAAAGAGATCCTAGGCTCTAATTACCCCAGGTAACATGATTGCTTTTACACACACACCCCAAATTCAAATCAGGAGGAATTTACCATTATAAAGAAAATAAAAACTAGTAGAGCCGGGGGTGGTATATATATTTGTGCAAATGCCTGGGGTTGGTGTTAATTAGTTCATTAAACTAAACATAGACACCCAAATGGGTCCATGCATGTTTGAGATTGGTTAAACTTGAAAACAAATATATCTTACATTGACACATTCAATTCAAAGCATTACAGATCTAATTACGACCTTTCTGCTTTCACATCCCCATCTCACTAACTCATAATTTTCTATCCATACGCCCTAGTTGACTCATTCCCACCCAGCAAACTATAGCTCGTTGACGTTATGTATATGTGTGAACACACACACACACACCTGTATATGTCTGCCGAGGTTTGGCACATCCACTTTAATCCTTGTAGGTATATATAGTGACCCACTTCATTATTGCCCAATTGGCTACAGATGAAGACAAATTTCCCCTTTATTTTCTTTTGCCCAAATTTCTCCCTTTCTTTCAGAGTAAGCATCGGCAAAAGCAGGATATGTGTAGAGGATTGATTAATTGGATGGATTAAATATAATTATGTGACTGATTAATAAATATTTCGAATGATAATATTATCATTTGCAGGAGTTACTTCAGGTGCACCCACCTGAAACTATATCACTGCCTAGCGAAGAAACAAGTGCAGCGTCTGGATAATAACCCTAACATGTTTGCAGTAACATATAGAGGAAGCCACACTTGCCACATGTCGTCCACAGCTCCATCTCCTTCAGTTCCACCACCACACCTAATGATCTCACAGCCACAAGACATAGCACACATTAGTACGACTTCTTCCTCCCAATTGTCTCCTTCTTCTGCTTCGGTTCCTGGTTGGTTGCCTTCTGTCCACCTCGGCCTCCTTGCCCGCGGGGGCAGTGGTGGTGGTGTTACTCAGGCTGGTGCCGAGGCTGGCGGCGCCGGCCCCTCCACCTCGAGATTTGGAGCTGATTACCCGGTGGCAGATATGGCTATGGACATGTTTCATTCAGGTTCTAGCAGTGGTAATAATAGCATGGAGTCTCTCTTCGCTTCTGCTGATGAGAAAAATGAAGCAGGCGACAACAAGAAAAGCTAAAGAACTTTCACCGATTTTGCAGGAGGAAACTTTTTTGCTAATTTAATACTTTATTTTCTTCCGGCAAACCGCCGGCCGGACTGCCAAGAATTGCTTCAGCTTAATTGGGAGATTTTGCAACTTAATTATGCCATCAAATACTTTAGAAGTTGATCATATATCCCTCTCTAGGCTTCTAATTAGTCTGCTCAGTTATAATCCCTTCTTAATTTTCCTCTATGTTCAAGTTTACAGGATGATCTAAATGTGCAGGGAAAAAAATTCTATTATCTCAAGTGACAAATAAGTTTCTTTTTGCCGATGGAAAAAAAAAATTTTTGGTCACTTGTGATGGCAGACCATTTTTTCTTTTGGGGGAAAAATTTCATCTAGCTTCTTTGGAATTATATATGAACAAGGGTATTAGGACTTAAGAAGGGGAAAATCAAAAGAGGGATTTGTAATTGAAAATCTGGGATTTATAATCAACTTCTAAAGAGTTATAAGAGATAGATACAAACTAGAGCTAGGTTGGGTTAAACTATTTACATTCTGGCTTTTGATTTATAGGTATGCTTTTGGTTCATGAATTGATGAATTCTTAAGCACACCCATGATAGCTTTCATCTGTAGAGTCATTTGATGCTGATGATTAATCAGCGAGGACGATTTCGTAAAAGAACTTTGTAATGTAATGTGTTTGTAATTTTTTTTCCTGCATAAATGTATTTCTTTGATACGGTGAATATATGCATATCATTCATTTTGATTCTACTTGCAACTTAGAGTGGCAATAGTACCGAGAGTGAATATTAAAAAATGTGGAGGTTAATTTGATTAGTGTGTCTTAGATGAGTCTGTTGGTGGCTCTGTTACTGGGGCTAAACATCCACCACTTTTGTACCTATTAAAATAAAAAAATTTTAAAATATATAAGAAATGTAAATTTAATTTGAATCATCTAAAATCGATATGGTTGGTTCAAATTAGGATGATCACGATGATGAGCACGGAATATATTCCCAGGAATTTTCAAAATTTCAGCAATGATTTGAGTTTGAGGGAGCGAAGTTTTTAGGTAATTTCCATTAATTATTGTTTAATAAATTATACTACCTCCGGTCCTTAATATAAGATCTCGTTCGACTTTTATTTTAGTCTTAATTATAAGACTCCAATCCACTTTATCTCTCATATTTATACATTTTTTCAAAGGTAGTCTCTCTAATAATGATATTTTTAGCTAATAAACTTGATTAATAAGGATATTTTAGAAAAGACAACACCTATTTGTTACAAATAACTAATTTAACTTATTTTCTTAATCTTATAATTAGGATCCGAGGTAGTAGGATAGTTTCTGGAAGAATGGCTTTCACGTATGGCGGCCGTAGATAAAGATATATCTAGAAGCTTATCTTCTTCCTGAAAATGGCCTGGCCTCCAACATACTCCGCTCTCTATTTTTTTTTTTTCCATTTCGGTCAACCATGCGTGCTTGCAGGGTTGCAGTGGCCAATTTTAGAGAATTTCAGAGAGGAATACCAATTGAGAATTAAATTAATCTTCTTTCACCGTATTACAACGACACAAATTAAAATAATTGAATGTATATGAACAATTCATATGTTTGACTTGTAAAAACAAATCAGAGCAAGTCTGGATGGGTACAGAAAAACTAGAGTTTTTCCATTAATTAAAAATATCTAATTAAATTTATAATCATGATATCTTTTTGTTTTTTTTGGGGGGGATTAGAGTTGGAGCATCAATTAATCTATGTTTAGCATGACACTAAACAAGTAAACATCAACTAGAAAAGGTTGAACCCTTTTAATTAGGTGAAATAAGAAATGGGGACTTTTCTCTATGGCTGTCTAAGAATCTTCCACAGTTGCTGGTGTTGGTACTGTGCCACATCGCTTTAACGTGTTGAAGAGGAAGTCATGACTTGTATATCCTGAAATGACCAACAACAACTTTACACATACTGAAAACGATCCATTTTGTTACCTTGCAAGACTCTGATCAGATGTTATCTTGTTTTTTTCCCCACTTGCCTCCCATTCATTAAATTACCCTTCCTATACGTTTTCTGTCCTTTGGGCTCCACCCATACACTGCCTTCCAACCTTGGCTTCTTACCCTTTTTTGATTTCGACTTCACAAAAACATATGTACACTTCACACACACACACACACACATAGACACACACACATACACCACACAATATAATGCCCTTTTCAAGTGGGAGAATAATCCTCTTCTGATTCTTAATATAAAATATAATTAACCAATTTGAATAGATTAAGGATGTTAATTAAATTAGTTAATATGATATGTTTTTTCTAAAACACTCTAAGTATCTTTTTAATTTCATTCCTTTCTTTTCTACTTGATTATTATTGAAGAAACATCAACAGATTAATTTGGAATTAAAAAAGTTCATAATTATATGAACTAGATCTTATATTTAAGACCAACATCAACTTTGACCGGAGGAGTATTAAATAATCACAAGATTCACACACATTATTACAGGTTACATATATCAGATTGATTATTAATGAAACTCCCTAGGAACAATAATGATCAAATATTGTACGTACAACAATGTTGAAAAAATGCGAAAAACCAAAATCTAGAGATTATCACTATATATATATGGAGAGATGCTTCAGTTATGATGAGTTACGGAGGAACTGATGATGAATCCCATGATCTCTATCCATCGAAGTGGAAATCATCAGAGGCAAAACGAACAGAATCATATTCCACCCCGAAATCCAAAGAGCCAGAACATGAATACACAGTATCTGCATTATCAGACGACCCCAAAGGCACCATGGCAGCCTCGGACAGATCCTTAAGGTCCGACCACAAAATGGGGTCGTCCAAGCCGCTGTTGGTGAGATAACTCGGTGTCTCCTCTCTGGGATGATGATGCTCTTGTTTTATGGGATGGACCTTTATTACTTCGTTTGGAATAATCTTTGAATCTGCGAAGAATGGTTCCCAATTACCAGATTCTGTGACCACTTGGGGTGTCTTAAGGATGTCTTTACATGTGTGATATCCGATGTACGTGATCTGGTACATTTCAGGATTCTCTTGGATTCGCTGCACCTGCTTGACTGCCCGACAACCTTGTTCATACTTGCGAGTGCACCTCATGTAGCTCCTGCGACACATCGAAATGCCTATGTTTCATAATACGGATCATATAAATATATACATATATATAGAATTGTTTGTAAAGTACAGGAAGAAATCGCACAGGTATTATATATTAAAAAAAAGAAAGTATTGTGTTGTGCTTAATGTAAGTTTCAAACAGGTGTCACCCAACATGACATGATGAAAACGACTAATGGCTCTTTCTTTTTAAAACGTTTAATGTGCTTTGCACAGGAAGCACGAATCATGATGGTCTGAAAGTCATGTTTCCACCCCTGGTGATGCCGAAAAAACAAGGCTAGTTTACAGTTCTAGCAAAAGACTAAAGACTAAAGTAATTAAAGTGATTCCGATATTTGTATATGGCCAAGGCTCAGATTTTGTTTCTTTGGATAAATATATATAATAGCTTAATGAACAGTGAAAAGCATGAAATTTGGAACAAAAACACGGAAAGAAAGGATAAGGGAAGGAAAGGACTAGACAAAAATATGCCCAGGTTTTAGGAAATTTTTGACATAAAACACATATATAAACTAGACAGAGCCTGGAATTAGTCGTATTATATATGTGTGCGTCTATATAGGGAAGTACTTTGTCGGAAGAGGAAAAGGAAAATAATGATTACCTGGGGAATTTGAAATTCAGGATTTCCTTCTGTCCGTACTTTCTCCATGCATGCTCATCATCCGCAGTGGAAGATAATACGGTCCGCGTTTGCTCAGTCCTCCTGCAAAAGGATGCAACTTTTTAAGATTCCAAGCTTGTGTTCTTCCATGAAATATATGCAATCCAAGTGTGGTGGTTTCAGAAATCAGACTCTGAAGTAGGAGAAGAAAAGAAATAAAAAAGAATTAATCTTTTCCCATTGCAAGGAAACTGCTTTCGATTATCTAGGAACCCTACCTTTTGGATTTACTAAGAATGATCGAAATTAGCTGATGCGGTTTTCTCTCCATCATTGTAATAAGCATAAGTCAGGTAAAGCTGAAAGTTTTATTTTTTATTTTTCCCATTTAAAAAGAAAAAAACAGCTTTACCCATAATCGCGAAATGTGTCCGTACAATTCCCAATTCATCCAAATCTCTGGCAATACAAGCCCCGTTGACTAGGAAGTGAACAAAGAAGTCACAGTTAAACACAGATCAGAAAACACACAGAAGAACAAGAGTTTGACCTTCTTTTGTAGCAACCCCTCCGGCTCTTGGTGGCCGGCGCCGATCTCCCTCTATTCTCGCTCGCATCGGATGACTTCCGGTCAAGGCAATTGTCAGCGGCCGGCGGCTCATTCTCACCGGAAACCACCAGATTCTGAGCAACCTCGACGTCAGAGGACGAAGAAGTGAGAAGAGAAAGAGAGTGGGTGAAAGATCTAAGAACTATGGCCAAATGTTCATGAGCAGAAAGAGTCCCATCAGCATCGAAAGGCTTCTGAAGCAGAAACTTAAGCTGGGAAGCAGACTGGTAACCCTGGACGAGCCCTTCGATGACATCTATCTTCTCCTTCTTGGGCGAGAGCAAGCTACTTTCTTGGGAAACAGTGGCCATATATCTGGTCAAAAATGGCGGAAAAGAACGTAGGTGAAGGATCTGTGAGGATTTGTGGGGAAAGTTGATGGTAAGTTTGAGGAAGGGGGGATGATTGAGGGGAGCGATGAGATGAGACGTGAGAGAAGAAAAGAAGTGAGGAAGGAGATAATGGACTTATAAGAGGAAAGAGAGCAACAGTTGAATGGAAATTGTGGGGAAGGGGAGGGGGAGAGAGAGTGTGTGTGAGAGTGAAACGCCTAAAATTTTCCAACTTGCTTTGCTTACAATGCTTCACATGACGTTGCCCTGCTGATGCACATCCTGACGCACTGTAAAACTTATTTAATAACGTTAAGTAAAACTTACTCTCTTATCTTATCCTATTTATAAAACATTTTTAATATATTGTATATAGATTAGAAAAAAAATTTTAACTGTATTAACTCTTTATTAAAATATAAAATTTTTTTAACCTTATCTCTATTTAATATATACAATTTTTAAAAAATAACTATCTAGACTATAATAAATGAAAGGTAAAATAATATATTCATACTAAAAATTTAATAAAGTACTCTTCCGGTCCTTAATATATGACAATTGTTGAGTTGGTTTTGATTCTAAATATAAGACTTATTTATCAATTTTTTCTAAATTATCCCTATAGATACTCTCTCAACCATAATCAAGTAAAAGAGGAAGAGGGGGTATTAAGAAAAATGATTATGGTATTTTAGAAAAAACGTGTCATATTTCTTATAATTAACTAACTTACTTAACTTTTTTAATCTAATCAAATTAGTTAAATGTGTCTTATATTAAAGATCGGAAGAGTAACTTATAAATAAGACTAGAAAAAATATTCTTTCTCTGTATTATAAATAAGACAAGAGGAGTATACAGCATTAGCTTTAAAAAAGGTATGTTTATCTTTTATCAAATATTTCATAACGAAGACAGCAAAAATTGTGCTCGAGTAATAAATTCAAATTGTGAAAGCGACAACTATCTTGTAATTGGGATTTGAGGGGGGAAAAAACACACACACAATTAATGTCCCTTTCTGTTGATTTTGGGCCAGGGTGTTTATTATCTCTAGATCACGGTTAGCGAGCACTAATTAATTCAATTTGTTCTTGGATGTAATAAAAGAAATTTGATTAAGCGCACAATAACATATCTGGGATTAATTTTATTCCGCGATGCGCGCTGGACCATCGCTAATCTCAATAATAACTGTATTTAAATTTTGCTCATGAATTTGACTAATTTCATGTGTCTTTTTATGATCCAAGTATTATCCATCCTCGTGTATTTATTTTTTTAAAAAGCGATAATTTGAGTGGACAAAACATTTCAAATCGTGCCATTGTACAGTAATATTAACAAAATGACGGGACTTTTTCTTGAAAATCATACTACCTTGCTATATAAGGGTTTTGTTTAACTTTTATTTTGATTTTAAATATAAGATTTTAATTCATTTTGTTTTTCATATTTATATATTTTTTTAAGGTAGTCCTTCTAACAATGATAATTCTAATTAATATAATTAATTAGTAAAGATATTTTAGGAAAGACAATACCTATTTATTACAAATAACTAATTTAACTTCTTTCTTTAATCTCTTCGGATTAGTCAATTAGCTCTTATAATTAGGACCGAAGGTAGTATTACAAAAGTTATTATCACGTGTCCAATTCATGCAAACCTATAGTTATCCATAGTTTAATTTTGTGATAGGAGTAGCATTAATTAAGGCATATTTAGCCTATTAATCAACAAGATTAGGCCAAGATAGGTTGTATTCCACACCCCAAACACAAGCTTCGTTAGTTGTTGCGGCTATTTATGTTGTTTGACAGCTCATCAACTTTTTTACCCACGATTATACGCACATATCATTTAATTCTCTATTGTCATATTATCAGATATCCACTTAAAGGAAACACTGTAATACCCACACAAAAAAGAGAGTAGAATTTGTGCAGAAATAATATATTATCTCCATCTAATATTTAATATAAAAACTAATTAAAATTAGATTTAATTTTAAATATAATACACCAATTTACTTTATTTTGTCATTTTTTAAAAATATTTTTATTAATTGCAAATTAAAGATTTCCACGAGAGGATAAGAGTGTTAAAGGTCAAGTAATCGTGGAGCATCGTTTGAGAGAAAAGACGGTGACAGCGTTGCCTTAAGCTGACCGAATAAATGTTTTTTGATCCTATTTTAGCAACTGGTATATGAATTATGAAATACATCTTTAATATAAAAGTTAGCTAACTAACTTAAATAGGTTAAAAATTAATTAAACTAATTATTTATAATAAATAGGTACTATTTTTCTTAAAATATCCTTCTCACTTAAATATATTGATCAGAACTACTATTATTATAAATACCACTTTGAAAAAATAGATAAATATAAGAAACAAAATAAATAAAAATCTTATATTTAATATCAAAATAAAAATTAAATAAGTTTTTATAGTAAAATAAGAGATAATAAGTTTCAATTGTGGACCACCGTTGGAAAAGACAGTGACAGCTATGTTGCCTTATCTTGATCGAATAAATCTCAATTGATCCAATTTTAGCAACTAGTATATGAATTATGAAGAATACCTAACCATGTGTTTTATTTGACGGAAAGATTATTTTAATTAGAGTTCAATTATATAAAATTCTTTCAACTATGTAAATAATTATTCTATCTTCTGCAGCTTTATAATAAGCCTTCATAAACTTTTACATCTATTCAAATGGTTTTCGTATTATTGATTTTGTTTGTTATTTATCTATAAACAACTTAAAGTTACGTTTAAGAATTTCATATGCATACAGAAATAAATTTAAGAGAATATAAAATTATCCAGCTTGGGATTATCCACCTAGATTTAAAAGTTTATCCTGTCTCAAATAAAATTATCTCAAATGAAAAGATACTGTGCATGGCCAAAAAAAAAAGGCCTGGGAAACTTATTCTTGAAATTGTAAAGTTTAAGAACATTATTTATAACAGTCTAGCTTAAAAAATTATGTAATATATTTTTTAATTAGAATAAAAATGCTACACCGAATCATTTCGAAATTAAATAATGTCCGTGATGCACGACCATAAAATCTTCAGCGGTGCTAGAAACCAAATAAATTGTTTTTAAACCCACACAAATTAAACCATCTCTTTCTTTTCTGTGCGAGGATGTGAATAAATAAATTAAAATTATGTGGAAAATGCACGATTATACTAAAATCATTTTCATCTGGAGAGACTACTTACGATGGGATCATTCAGATATTTTACTATTCCTTCACAGCGAAGTAGGAGTCACATCAACTTGGTTTTGTTTCGTGCGGATGCACTAAGTAGTGGCTATGAAATTTCCATCCTACATTTTACCAAAAATATTACTCTTCCGGTCCTAATTATAAGACTCAATTGATTTATTTGAGGAGATTAAGGAAGTAAGTTAAGTTGGTTATTTATAATAAATAAGTGTTATCATTTCTAAAATATCCTTGCTAATTAAGTATATTGGCTAAAACTATCATTATTAGAAGGTTTATCTTAGAAAAAAATGCATAAATATAAGAGACAAAATGGATTGGGGTCTTATAATTAGAACCAAATAAAAAGTCAAATGGGGTCTTATAATAAGGACCGGAGGAGTACTACCCTTTCTTTTTAATATAAGATCTCATTTAATTTTTATTTTGATTTTAAATATAAAACTCTAATTCACTTGATCTCTCATATTTATACATTTTTTCCCTAAGAAAGCCCCTGTAATAATGATAATTCTACTCAATACATTTGATTGGTAAGGATATTTTAAGAAAAATAACACCTATTTATTATAAATAACTAACTTAATTTATTTTTTTAATCTTCTCAAATTAGTCAATTAATTTTTATAAATAAGGCCGGAGGTAGTATTGTTTTCCGGGGCCAATTCCATCCCTCCCTGAGTAGCAGCTAGCAAACGTGTCCCAAATGGAGAATTAAAACAGTCCAGATATGGACAGGCAAGGGAAATAAATATTACCCATCTGGATATTTGTGCCACAAAAAGAATTATTTATATTGATAAATATTAGCCAACGTCTGCCCTACTTTTAACAAATTTTATATAGATTAATAAAAATTTTAAATTTTATTAACTCTCATTTCAAATTTAATAATGTCTTGATTTTATCCTCATTTAATATATAATATACCTCATGAGAACAAAATCAACATCATAAATAAATGATCAAGTTGTGCATTTTTGTGAAATTTTTTTCTCTTTACCTTATAAATATGATCAAAAATTTTCTACCAAAAGAGTAGTTGATAAAAATGTAATCATACTTTATAAAAGGTGTGGATTAAAAAAAAATCTTGCTTGTTAATGCAAATACTACTTCTGGTTCATAATATAAAATCTAATTGACTAATTTTTCAATTGCTAAAGAATGCTACCCTGCAGTTGCACGAGAACTGGTCTCTCGCTGGGGAGACCGGAGATAAAAGGGATGATCTCACGGAGTTGGAAGTTTTTTTTTTTTTTGGTACAAGACGGAGTTGGAAGTTCGATTGCCAGCTTATTGCTACAGATGATAACTTTGTGGCAGACACACTAGTAAAGATAGTCCTGAATGATAACGTGGGTTTTCTTATCCTAGGCCCCAATAGTGTCCGTAACTTTCTAGAGCTCGAAGGAACAGGATAGTTTTTTTGCTGTTGTCTCTTTTGCTTTTCGCTTTTCGTTGTATCTAAAAAAAAAAAAAAAAGCTTGCTTCTTAATGCAAGTATTACTTCTGATTCGTAATATAAAATCTAATTAATTAATTTTACAAAACTAGTTAAGTTATTTTTTATAATAAATATATGCTGTCTTTATTAAAATATCCTTACTGATTAAGTATATGAGTTATAACTATCATTACTACAGCATAGGAACTACTTTGGAAAAAAATAGATAAATATAATAGACAAAGTGGATTAAGGTTTTATATTTAGGACCAAAATAAAAATTAAACAAGCTCTTATACTATCTCCGATCCTTAATATAAGACCTTGTCTGACTTTTATTATGGTCCTAAATATAATATCCTAATCTACTTTGTCTCTCATATTTATGCATTTTTTTTTACAATAAAACCCTTCTAATAATAGTAGTT